ACCCCTCAGTGTGTGCAGGGTGACACTGCTGTCACCCCTCAATGCAGCCACTGGCCAGGGGAGTGACACGGTGTGCAGGGTGACACTGCTGTCACCCCTCAGTGCAGTCACCCCAAACAATCTCCCCTGTCTGAGTGCAGCACCCCCAGCCCAGCGCCCACAGGGAGGGAGCTCAGCTCTGCAGGGCCAGGCCAGGGCTGCTTCAAACCCAAACTGGGAGTGAGAACGCGCTGCAGAGCTGGGTTTGCTCACCAACAAACACACCCAGGCCCTCTCAAAGCTGTTTGGATTTCACAGTCACACTGCTGCCTGTCCCAGACAAGACCTGGATTTTATTCCTTCAGCCCAAACTGTGCATTAACAGCGTGCCCATCCCTCCCTGCCCATCCTTCCCTGCCCATCCCTCCCTCTCCATCCCTCCCTGCCCATCCGTTGCCCATCCTTCCCTGCCCATCTCTCCTTCTCCATCTCTCCCTGCCCATCCCCTCTCCATCCCTCCCTGCCCATCCCTCCCAGTCCATCTTTCCCTGCCCATCTCCCCTGCCCAAGGCAGCAGTGCTGCAGCTCTGCAGTTCCCTGCAGGGCACTGACACCCAGCACAGCCACAGCAGCGATGTCCCCTCAGCTTTTGGGGCAGTGCCATGGGATCTSTGCCCCTCAGCAGCACCAGAACCACCCATCCTCCATCACCCCACGGCTGCTGAGCTGCTCTGGCAGCACCCACAGGCCCAGGCTTTTCTGCACTGGGGCAGGAATCCTTTACATCTGCCCAAACTGCATGCACAGCTCTGCTGAAACCCCACAAAAACCCCAAAACCGCCCCGTGCAGCTGCATCCTCGCCCCGTGCCCCCCTGGCAGTGCTGGCAGGGCTGACAGGAACATGCAACAGCGATGGAATGAGCTCAGAAACACTGCAGGAGTGACAAACAACAGCGACAATGCCGGTGCTTTCGGGGAGGCCGGGCTGATGGAGCCTACCTGCAGGGGCTGAATGGATCATCCATGACTGTGACAGGCGCTTGTGGGTTGGGATGGATGSCTGAGCCCTCTGGGAGCAGCTCAAACTCTGCCTTTTCCACTCTACCAACTCAAAATGGAGGCACATGCGGGCTGGGAGACCTCGCCGAGCCTGCACTGAGCTTGTGCTGTGACCTAAGCCCGCACGCAGAACGCAGAAACTTCGCCCTCGGACCGGCGGCACTGAGCATGTGCTGTGACCCTCCCTCCCTCCTCCTCCCCTCCCTCCTCCTCCTCCTCCCCTCCCTCCTTCCCGGCCGTAAATAAACACAGCCGGGAGCTGCGAATACCGAAACCAGCCCTGGATAACGAAACCGGGCTGGGATGGTAAAATCAGCCGGGTCTAAACCCCAAAAATACAGCCCGGGATCTGCAGATACAGCCGGGTCTAAACCCCTAAAATACAGCCCGGGATCTGCAGATACAGCCGGGTCTAAACCCCAAAAATACAGCCCAGGAGCTGCAGATACAGCCGGGTCTAAACCCTGGGAAATACAGCCCGGGAGCTGCAGATATAGCCGGGTCTAAACCCCGGGAAATACAGCCCGAGATCTGCAGATACAGCCGGGTCTAAACCCCGGGAAATACAGCCCAGGAGCTGCAGATATAGCCGGGTCTAAACCCCGGGAAATACAGCCCGAGATCTGCAGATACAGCCGGGTCTAAACCCCGGGATCTGCAGATACAGCCGGGTCTAAACCCCGGGAAATACAGCCCGGGATCTGCAGATACAGCCGGGTCTAAACCCCGGGAGCTGCAGATACAGCCGGGTCTAAACCCCGGGATCTGCAGATACAGCCGGGCTCCCTGAGCCATCCCTGCACTGTAAATAAACACAGCCGGGGATCTGCAAACGCAGCCGGGAGCAGCCGAGCCCTCCCCGCCCGCGGGGAGAGATGGAAGGATAAGGGATGAAGGATGGAGGGATGAAGGAATGGAGAAATAAAGGATGGAGGGATGGAAGGATGGAGGAATAAGGGATGAAGGATAGAGGAATAAGGGATGGAGGGATGAAGGATGGAGGAATGGAAGGATAAGGGATGGGAGGATAAGGGATGGAGGGATGAAAGATGCAGGAATAAGGGATGAAGGATGGAGGGATGAAGGACGGAGGGATGAAGGATGGAGGATGGAGGGATGAAGGATGGGGGATCCCTCAGGGCCAACACACCAAGCACAGCCCGGCCCTGCACTGCTCCAGGATCCATTCCAGCCCCAGCCCCAAAACTCCCCCAGTGCTGCTGCTGAAATCACCCTGATTCCAAGGCTCTGAGGGGTTCAGAGTGAGAGCTCCACGTTTAATGCACAATTCAGGCTTTGGAAAGCGGAGCAGGAAACTGAGTCACAGCACTCGAGTTTCCCCTGCCAGAGCTGAGCGCAGGGTGAGTTAAAGGAGTAAAAATTCTCCCAAGAGRCACAAGGTGAACCCCCAGGCCTGACTCAGTGCCCAAATTTCCTGCAGCAGCCTTGACCTCTGACCTCCACACTCATCTGCAATCTCCAGCCCTGTTTTAGGTACCCACTCACACGAGGGACCATCCCTTCCCCTCCAGCACACGAGGATTTAATCACCATCCATCCCTCATGGATGCCTCAATCTACCATGAGCCTAAAGMAGGACAAAAAGCTTCCCAAATACTGAATTTTGAAAGACAAACACAGTAAGCAAAACAGATCAGATCACAGAACAATCCTTAATTTTTTCCTGCAGTAACCCAGTGAGAAGTTTTCTTGTAACAGAGATGGATACACAATTTCCATGTTGCTTACACCCTGTTAACTCCCATCCCCTTATCGGGCCTTCACCAACAGCCTGGCTCCTTCCATAAACAGCCATAATAATTCAACAATTGTTCAGTATATTCCAACCACAACTGAAACATATTTCTGAATTTTCTCGCTGTTGTTGTTCCAAATGGGTCTGGCACACCCAGATCCTCCAGGAGAGCTCACAGAGCTTCCCCAAACCCTTACAGGACACCAAACACACAGGGAAGCACTGACAGCAGTGCTGGGATTCCACTTTACTGGGATTAGTCACTGTCAGAGCATCACTCCTCTGAAGAGACACAAAATTAATTATTTTCAAGTACGTGACACAAAATGAATTTTCCTCCTCAGTTGGCAGTCTGGATGCCTCCTGCACTCTGGAGAGCCAGGAACACTTTGAGCTCTGCCCATGGGCTCCATAAACACTGCTCAAGGTGAGAACACTCAACTCTACCCTTGGAATGGTTCAGGGTTTGATTCCACAATCAGAGTCTGCTCAGGATGTGAAAATTATTGACACACAGCTCCATGTGAAAATTATTGACATACAGCTCCATGTGAGAATTACTGACACACAGCCCAGTGTGGGAATTATTGACACACAGCCCAGGGTCTGGGCTCAACTCAGGAGAAAAAAACCCAGCCTGATGTACAAAAATGATCCAAAAAAGCCCAGAGTGACCAATTCCAGAGCAGAGAAGGAGCAGCACCAGGGCTGATGTTCTCCAAGGTAACCCAGAGTCACCAAACTCCAAAAAAAGAACAAAACCTTTCCTCGAGCTCTGTGTCCTCCAACAACCAAAAGCCTCGTCCTACACACCCAACCCCAGCTCTGGGGATGTTCCTGCAGTCTGGGAGTTTCTCAAATTGTTTTGCAGACACACAAAAACAAAAATAGATTCTTTGCAGACACACAAACACAAAAATAGATTATTTGCAGACACAAACCCAAATATAGATTCTTTGCAAACACCTAAGAACAGAGAAATGGGTTCCCACCAYGCTGAGCTGCATCTGAGGGTTCTGCTGAGGTTTTAGAGCATCTC